TCATTTCTGAAATATTGATACTTTGTATGATTACTTTGTAGTAGAACTTCTCATTATTGTAGTGCTCTATAAGATCGAGATCGGAATCATTTTGAAAGTCTTGATCTATTTCACTAGATCTTATAAGAAAACCCCTTATCAGGTTCTAAATTTACGAGAAATGAAATATTAATAAACTCTACATAATCAATCAAATTTACTTTAATTTTAGTTCAAATTTTATCGAATTGAACTTAATTAATTCGTCTGTTTGTCTGCTTTTATTACTCTATATGTTCCGGAGTAAAGATTGGATCCTTTAGTTGTTTTGAAAGTAGTTGTAAATATATTAGATTTTCGATTTATAGATCTTGTGTTTGTAGCATCAATGATTGCCTATGTTGATTATATTGTGATTCTAATTTATTATGAGAAATTAATGCTCTATGAAGTTTGAGCATTCTTGCAGAATCAACAGTATAATCAGGATTATTTGGAACCAGTCTAATAGGAATATCTCGTCTTAATTTTGAATCAACATGAGGTGCTTCTGGAATGTAATCGGCTTCAAACGGTGTCATCTTCATTACTTTATGAACATGAGCATTATAAGCATATTCAACTATTGGTAATTTCAATGACCAATCTTGATCATTTTTCTTACCAAAAGCACGTAATAATGCAATTAATGATCTATTAGTTCTTTCTGTTTAACCATCAGATTGTGGATGATAAACTGAAGTGAAAGGTAATTCCATCTTAAGTTACCTTTAAAAATCTTGCCAAAAATGACTTGCAAGTCTAACGTCATTATCATGCATAATTTCATTTGGCAATCGGTGAAGTTTAAATATTTCTTTAATAGATAAGATAATTGAGCACAACCTTGAGCTGTAAAATTGAATGGTTTGGCATTAACTGACTTGTACGTTTCTGGTCTTCAAAAGGAACTATCATCTTCATCATCAATAGGTTCAAGATGTTCCACATTTCTTCCAAATTTAATTTCATTTATATTAGTCAAATCAAAAGTTTCAGGTCATTTGCAATCATCCAAGTTATTATTCAATTCTTAATTTCTTGTTGTAATTCTTCAACTTGTGATGTATATTTATATTTATTCAAATGAGTAATTCCTCCTTTGCAGCATACAAGAATTCTTTTTGCTATTTGATTCCGTCATTTAACTTATCATTTAGTTGAGTCAAATGTTCAACCTTGTTAATTAGGGTATTGAATTGATGTAGGAATAAAATGAGTACGTTTAGTAAAACGAACAACAACAGCTAAAATGAAATCATAACCATCCTTTTCTGAAGTTCCTCCAATCAAATTCATTGAAATCAGTGACCATCTAGTATGAGGTATTGATAATTGGCGAAGTAATCCAAACTTTAAATGATTTCTCAATTTTATAGCTTGACAAATGTTGCAATGTCAGAATTTAATGTTGTATCTTGATGAATGATCGATGTTGATTACCTTATAATGCAAATTAGATGAAATCCATATTCTTTCAATTGGATCTGCTCTAAAATCAAATACTCTAAAATACCATTCCTATAATTAAATTTCTTAATTCTGTATTCGGTGGATCTAATTGATTTGAAAGATGGTGATAAATTTCACGAGCTTGTTCATCTTGAGAATAACCTTCTTTAATTTCTTCAAGTATATCTTCTCTCAATGGATGTAGTTCAATGAGGAATGTAGTATTTGAAATTGTAAGATCTTCTAAATCAACTGCATCAAGATCCACAATGGGTAAATTGACTTCCATGCATTTTTACGGCTGGAAGAAAGGTTTGAAGA